TAATCTGTCAGGCCTTCTCATGAACCACCAATTAAAACATTTGCCATACAGTAAGAAACTACAAATGTATTTAGACGTTTTCTCCTCATCTTTGTGTGCTTGATCACAGTCACTAAGCATTCCCCTCGAGTTAGTTGATCCTGGAGTTCATGGTGTTTGTACAGTCACTCTACAAGCCAGCTAGTGCTGCTACTCTCCTAACAATGTTCCTCAATTATAGACTATGCTTTCTAACCCAAATTAACTACACTACAAATGCATGCACTGGTTACTCTTACTGCAGAAACAACTAAGAGGATGTTCATCAGTTAAGTCACAGTACCAGTCAACAGTCAGATCCTCACACTGGACAGTATTATTTCTGAGGAAAATAAAACACCTACAAACAGCAACTGGTGCTGGGGCACACACAATCCTACCCAGTTATACTCAGGCACAGACTATTACATCTGCAGAGTACTCATTAAAACTTACCTTAATCTTAGTACTAGACTGATGGGAATCTTGGTTTCTTGGGAACCTGGTCCTGAAGACAGAGCCTAGAATGCATTCAAAAGTATAAAGTCATTTCCTGGAACATTAACAGGGGAGAAAACTAATGCTCATCTGCAGAGGAATCAGCCACTTAGCAGCAATAGACAAATTATGGAATCAGCCTACGTGCCCATTAATTAAAGAATGGATTTTTTAAAAAATGGGCTTTTTGTTTTGGGGTTTTTTTTGGCAGTATTGGCATTTAAACTCAGAATTTTGTGCTTGCTAGACAGGTGCTCTACTGTTTGAGCCCCACTGCTAGCCCCTACACTATGGAGTTTTACTCAGGATGGAACTGCAGCTCATCATGCTAGAGGAAACAAACCAGTCCTACAAAAACAAGTATTGCATGTTTTCTCTCATTTGTGGGAACTAAGGTAAAACAAAACAAACAGGTTATGAGAAGTAAAAGGGAGACTAATAGGGAAGTGGAAGGGAAAAGAAAAGAGGGAGGGATGAGCAGGAGATAAGAAAGAGTAATAGAGCCGGGCTCTGGTGGCTCATGCCTATAATCATAGCTACTTAGGAGGCTGAGATCAGGAGGATCTCAGTTCGAAGCCAGTCTGGGCAAAGAGTTCACAAGGCCTTATCTTTAAAAAACCCATGGTAAAGAAAGGGTTGGTGGAGTGGCTCAAGGTGTAGGCCCTGAGTTCAAACCCCAGTACCGAAAACAAAGCAAAACAACAAAGTAAAAGACTGGGTGTGGGAGGGGGCGGGGGAAAAGGGAGGGGGCGGGGGGGGGGGAAGGGAGGAGTAATGACCAAAACATTATATGCGCATATGAATAAAAGAAATAAAAAAACAAAACAAAACAAATAAATAAAAAAAACAGTGCTATCCACCTAGGGGGAAAAAAAAAAAGATTGGGTGAACATGATCCAAGTATATTATATGAATGTATGGGAATGTCATGATGAAACCTCTTCCTATGTACAATTTAATACACATTAATTAAAAAAAATTCTGCCACACACAAGTTAGGTTAACACACAAGGTAGGAATTAATAGCTATCCCTCAAAATTCCATTCACTGCAAGGTTCCAGGTGTTTTTAGGGCTAAACTAAATTTCTCTGAAAACTGCATAGCTATCTCTTGCTTACTGAAGCACACACATTCCATTTATTTATACAATAAATCCAATCTTTCCATCAGTTTTCCTAATTCACCTGGCTTTTTCCCATATGATAGGAAGAAATGAAAAGCTTGAGTGATGAAAAGTTCAAATGAAGTCACCACTATGACTAACTGGAAGTTCCCAGAGCAGCAGTCTCCAAAGACAGAACACAAGATAATATACTGGGTGCAAATCAATTTCTATTTCTTTTTCATCTAAAATGTTAGAAAAATGAAATGCCAATATTTAATAAATGAATGGACACCAAAACCCTTACTTGAGCCTTGTGGCATTAAGGTCACATGTTATATGCGGTATCAGAGGTTTCTGGAGGGGAGAACTGGATTTACATAGCACACAACGGCTCACTCACTCAGCTGCTTTCAGAACATTACCATTTAAGGAAGCTTGTTTGCTTAAGTTTACAGATTATATCATCTAGTTTTAACAAAATCAACCCTCAGAAAATTGACAAATGTCTTTAAAGAGTAAGAAAAAACAAGTATAAGTGAGTGAGAAAAAACAGCACAGCACATATTCTAGTCTCAGTGTGAATTCCATCAGCTGCGTTCTGAGTGAAACTTAATGATCTAATGCAGAACTGACAAGACATCAGTTAAAAATTTTTGCTATTTGGAATGTTTTCATCATTAACTTATTTTGTTGCCTAAAAATCTATGTGATCCTTGTCAGACTTACCTGCACATTTAAAATCGTAAAGACAGAATTTCAAACTTGTTTCAAAATCTACAAAGCACCAACCTGAAAGTACACATTAATATTGGCTTTTCTCCTCTCTCCACAAGGCGATCATTAATCCCCACTTTACCTGTGCTGTCTTTGCTGGCTCTGCGGGGGGTGGAAGAGAGACTTGAGTTGGCTGTGTAGGTATCTGCCCAGCTGGCTGAGGTAGATGAGCAGAAATCTGTTCTGGAACCTGGAGCAAACTACCATGGGATCAGAGGATGAGAAGAGCTGCAACAAAGCCACACATTCAGTGTTGACAGTCAAGTGGAGCCTGACAGGGTGACATTTTCAAGTAGTTTTTGTGTCATCACTTCTCTGGATGTATCAATTCCAAATGGAAGTCAACTATTTCTAGGCTTTTAGGGTTTTTGTTTTCTTGTTTGTTGTTATCGTTTTATGAGAAAGGATCCTTCTATGTAGCTCAGGTTGGCCTTGAACTAGAGATATTCCTGTCTCAACCTTTCAGGAATGCACCACCACTTTTCGTTTAACAACTTTATGAACTATAATTTATAGCCCTTTAAATTCACCCATTTTAAATATACAATTCAAATTATTTTTGCACAATTTATAGACCTGTGCAACTATCACTACAATCCAGTTTTACAATACTTTTCTCAACCCCAAGTTTTCTTGTTCTCTTATAGTTAAGTTTTGCTTCTGCACCCAATCCTCAGAAACCAGTGTTACTGTCAGTCTCTGTAAATTTGCCTTTTCTGGATATTTCATGTAAATGGATCATACAATATGCTGCCTTTGAGTCTGGCTCCTTTCACTTTGTATCATATAACCACATCCATACCACCTTCTTTACCCAGGAAAACAGCTCCCTCTAAAATTCAAATTTAAGTATGTAATAAGAAATTATAAAACTATACTTTTCTATGCAGGGTGCTATGGTTTGTCCCTGCCAAAATTCATGTTGAGGCTGAATTCCTCAATATACCAACATTGAAAGGGAGATGACTGGGTCAGGACCCCCCTCATGAAAGGATTAATGCTGGTCTCACAGGAATGGACTAGTTTCTGGGAGGGTGGATGGGCCCTCCAGGTTTCTTACTTCTCCTCTTGCAATGTGACTCTTTCACATGCTCCCATCATGTGATGCTATCTGCCAGGATGATATCAAGTTCAAGGCCAACCTGTGCTACATAATGAGATCATGTCTCAAAAAGAGGGATGTAAAGCTTATAATTAATCTAGACATTGTATATATTATTTTAGACTTGAAATCCTTCAGAAATTTCATTTGGGGGAAAGACTGATATTGAGTACAAAAACAAGTTAAATACATTCAAAAGTATAAATTAGTGGAAAATTATCAAAGCAATGGCCAAAATTTACTATTGAAAGAGAAAAAAATTCAAAGGGCAATAATAGAGGCCTGATATTTTATAAATAAAATTAAGGAGATTGGAGAGTGAAATTTTGTATTCATTTAACATCAAATAGCAGAGGAAGGAAAAAGTTGCTCATTGGTCCTACACTTTGATAGAAAAGTAGAACTTTAAAATTAATTCTGAAAATGTTAATATAATTATTAGTACTATTTCAAAAAGTTAGCATCCAAATTGCATGCACATATATGTTTATCTATTAATAAAGACAAAAAGGCTATAAAAAACAATGTAATAAGATGTGGAAAAGCTGGAATCCTAATGGAAGTATAAAATGGCAGAGGCTCAATTGATAACAATATGGTTATTCCTTAAAAAACTAAACAGCCAAAAGGGCTGGAGGCATGGCCACAGTGGTTAAACACCTGCTTTAGCAAACTGCCCTGAGATCAAACCTTAGTATGGCCAGAAAACAAAGAAACAAAAACTAAACAGCCAGGCATGGTAGTGCATGCCTATAATTCTAATACCCAGGACGCTGAGACAGGAGGACTGTGAGGCTCCAGCCTGAGCTACATAGTAAAAGCTGGTCTAAAAGCAAAAACCCAACCAAACCAAACCAAAATCCTAGAATTACCATACAATTCAGCAATTCCACTTCTAGGTCTATATCCAAAAAAGCTGAAGGCAGGGTCTTAAGCACATATTTGTTATGTGTACACACATGTTCACTGCAGCGTTATTCAGGAGAGTCAAAAGATAGAAGTAATTCGAATGTTCATTGACAAATAGAATGTTGTGTGTATGTGTATATGTGTGTGTGTGGTACACACACACACACAATGAAATACTATTCAGCCTAAAAATAGAAGGACATTCTGACACATGGTATAAGAGGGATGAACCTTGGGCACACTGTGCTAGGTAAAATAAACCCGTCAAAACAAGACAAATATATGATTCCACTTATATGAAGTACAAAAAGTAGTCAAATACAGAGACAGAAACTAGAAGGGTGGTTACCAGGGGTTAGAGTGGAAGAAAACAGAGAGTTAGAAAGATGAAAAGTTCTTAAGACAGATGGTGCTAATAGATATACTACAGTATAATGTATGCAATGACACTGAACCAAAAATGACTACAATGACAACTTTTACATTATGTGAATTTTATCTTAAATTAAAAAGCAATGTGATGAGCATGAGAACAGAATTTACATAGAGATGCTATTTAGGCATCTAAGACGACATCTAGTCTGAAAAGAAAACCTCTGAATAATCTGTAAAATGTTTTCTCAATTTCTGAGAAATCAGAAGAAACAATCCTAAAATGTTAGTAGATTGAAGTAAAAGTTATTTCTTGCATACACTTGAAAGGTATCCCTGTCTAGCAAGTGTTAGTAAACTCAGCATCATTCTCATTTGGGATGCAGGTAAGGTGGCAGGATTAAAGAACACAGAGAATCCCAGGGTGATCCTTCCTTCTGCTTGCTCTTCATTGGCTAGAAGAACTGACATGGCCAAGTACAATTTCAAGGGTCAGGGAAATGCAATTCTATTATGTACCAAGAAATACTAGTGAACAGTGGTTCTTATATAAGTTGTTAAAGAACAGAATTTACTATCAGTCTTAAAAATTATATACACATATCATGTACATAATTGTGTATACGAATTGTATACTATGCAGGCTGGGGCTGAGGATCAAATGGTAGAGTGCCTGCTTAGCAAGCACAAGATGCTGAGTTTGAACCCCAGGACTACTAAAAAAAAAAAGTATGCTATGTACACAAAGGAAATGAAAGAATTATTTAAGAGCAAGATTTGTATGCCATTAAACCAAATACTATGTTCAGAAAGGAAGATGCTACCAGAAGGAAGAATATACAGAAGAATGGACTCATGAAAATACTGTTTTATTCAGGCAGAGAGAATAAGCAAAGCCAGCCTAACCAGATTCTGTTCAGTGGGATTTCCTATCTCACTGAGGTAAAAAAAAAAAAAAAAACCCACAAAAACCAGTATTCAACAAAAGGCCAGAAAAAATTCAGAGAAGAAAGATGGCAATATGACAAATCTCTGGACAGATGAATGCAAAAAGACTACTTTCCACTCCAAGCAGCCTAAGCCAAAAAAGGCAAGTCATAAAGTCAAGCAAGGAAGAACATTCTGAGCCTTTAGGACAAAGTTTAAAATTTGACTATTATAAAGTCTCATTCCCATTTAAGCACACAGAAGCATGAAGGTTTTAACAAAGACTCTATGATATCAATTACTTACCTCAGAATTTGATAATGATTCTTTCACTCGGGGAGACTAAAAGAAATACAAGAAAAGATGCTTGTTAACTCAGAACTTAGGTTACTTGTAATCAGTTTCAAGCAACTGCAAGTAATGTTGAAGGCAAGTCAAATCCATTTCATTCTGATTGACAAATTAACTCACAAACAACTCTAGTGAAACTTTTTGGAAAAAAGAAAGCTGTTATGATACCATTATAGTGTTTGTCTAAATAGCCTGTAAAGAATGCATCACTATATTTGTTGCATTTAAAATATTTGCAATTTCAGATTTATAAGCACACATGACAGGACTGTTGTGAGTTCTCAGGCAGTGGGAAGATCATTTTCAAAGCAAAATACTTTCTACTAACCATGACTATATTATGTACCTAAGATAGACCAAATCTAAACCTTCAGGCTAATTATCTAATGCAGAATTCTGACTGTGGGCTTTGCTTTGATGGAGAAAAAGTCTTGAGACAAAATTGAACAATGATCTGAAAGTTGAAAAATGTGAAATGAGGATAGTGGGGGAAATCAAAGGGAAGGGGGAGAGGGAAAGAAAAGGATACTGAGAAGTGAAGAGGGTTGAAGTATGATACATACATACGAAGACACACCAAACTCACCAAACACTGTTTGCAAAAGTGGGAGATGGGGAATGGGAATATAATGGAGGGGTATACAGTATGCACATACGGAATTATCACAATGAAACTCCCTTGTATTGTTAATGTATGCTAATTCAAAAATACAATAAAACTATCAACTAGAATGTATAATAGTGATAACCAGAGGCTATGGAAGATGGGTGGGTGGGTAAGACAGTGGTAGGTTGGATGACAGGTACCCAAAAATTGCTATACAGAAATGGTAAGTTCAGTATTCTATAGAACAGTGGGGTTAACAAAATAGTTCATGATTACCTATTATATATTTTATGCATAATAGAAGAGAGGAGTTCCAGGGATCCAAACATAAAGTAATGATAAGGAGATGGAAATATTATTTACTGATTTGATTAGTATGGTATGTTAAACATGACTGAAATTTGTACAATTATGTTAATCAAAAATTTAAAAACAAATGCTCAAGGAAATGTAAATGTTAACTACTGTGATTTATTACACACTGAATGCATGTATTTAATTTTCACAATGTACCCTATATACTGGTACAATTAAAGGAAGGGAGAAAAGTCTACGACCTTTACTCCTGTTGCTATATTTAGAGATCTGGCACATAAATATATGTAGGTTATCTGAAAATAAAGAATGACTAGAGGCAAAAAGGGCTGGAAGCATGGCTCAAATGGTGGAGCACCTACCTAACAAGTATGAAGCCTGAGTTCAAACCCCAGTACAGCAAAAAAAAAAAAAAAAAAAAAAAAAAAAAAGAAAGATGGCTAGAGGAAATAAGTTGACATGTTAATACAAATCAAGATGAGGTTTCAAGTACGTGGTATAAACCAACATTTATTTGAAAATCACCATTATAGTCTAAAATAAGATAAGTTTATTTAGTAAAGAATAACAGTTGATAGTAATTCTGGACCCAAATACTACAGTTTCCCAAAAAGCTTACTCTAAACAAGTTTAATATGGTATATACTCCTTACTATAGATTTAGTCAAGATTATTTAAAAGGCCAACATAGGCTTTTATCATCATTTTATTAAGGAGAATCAAGGTTCAAGTAATAACTAATATATCACAGAAAATTCACTAAATCAAAACCCAATTTTAAAATTCTGCATTTGGAAATAATTTCAAATCTTCTTTTTCTGTTTTTTATTTTTTTAACAGAAAAGGTGCTACAATAAAAACAATACAAAGAACACCTAGAGAGTCCGGGCACATTCATCTATTATTAACCTTGGCTTCCTTATCTACCTCAATTTGGGTGCTCACGTTTTCTTTCTAAACATGCAACTGCCTGATGTTTCTTCATGATTAGAATTAGATGAGCTCCCAGTTATAAATCTACACAATATAAACTTCACAGGTATTAAATGTTCACCTGCATGACATTGGTGAGATTAATTTTAGTCACTTGGTCAATGTATTTTCCAAAATCCTTGCAACTAATACATAGTTTGTGGGAAAAGACCTTGCAAATATTCTGCTCATCAAAACTTCTTCCTATATTTAGCATTCACTGACGATTATTCCCTGATCCAATCTTTATGATGATGGTTGTAAAATGATGATTTTTCTATCTTCAACACTCCTCCACATTTACCAGTCAGTACTTGGCAGTCTACTGGAATGAAGAACCATCTCTTTCCCCTCATATGATTACATTTCTATTTACAATTCATATGAACTCACAGAGTCCTATTTTTAAAACATTTAATAATTCATTACTGCATTTATTTGGTTAAATAGTACCATATCTGGCCAATCCAAGGTCATTCAAGCTGGCTCTTATGTCATTATCCTTTTTTTCTTTTTGGGTATACATCTCTTTTTTTAAGTGGTAAGAGAACATATTCCTGATTCATTTTATATTTTCCCTGCACAAGTCCTGAACTTGAATGTTTCTTAAAAAGCCCTGGTTCTTTTACTGGGTAATGACATTATAGAACATTAGGCACATGGTATGCTTATCGTTATTCAGGTATCTTTACTTCTAGTCCCTTCAGTAGACAAAGCTGGGAAATACATGCAAGTATACATACACACACAATTTACTACATACATACAATGACTTTAGAAAACATGAATTAACACTAATACCCACAATCAAATTCATTTCCACAGATTCTTTCTCACTTTGCCGTTTCATATTCATGTGTCTCTTCTTTCATTGTCAGAATCTAGCTCCCAAGAACATCAAGACATTTACTCTTTTGCCCAATCCTATAATACAGCTACAAGAGGTTCAGAATTGCTTTGCATACATAACTATGAAAAAGCCATCTTTCTTTTCCCTGTCAACTCTAGCTAAGACTGAGAGCCAATAGTCACATATTGTGTTCATAGGTTACTTGGATTAGTTCTTGTTATTCTACTTCAGTGTAGTAACATTTTCACTTAAAATACAATTGTAAACTTCCACTTCTAGCCACAATAAACAGGAACCAGATTTACAAGAAGGGAAGGAAGGAGAAAGGAGGAAAGAAAAGAGGGAGAAGGGAGGAGAGAGAAGAGGAAGACATAAAGAAAAAAAGGGAAGATGCAAAACTAAATAAATAAATAAACATCTCTATTACAATGCCTGACATGAAATACGTACTGAATGGGATTAACAGATGAGATATGACAGAAAAAAGAAAAAGGAACTTGAAAAATAACACAGAAACTATGCAAAATTAATGAAGAGACTAAAGAAATTTTTTAAATGAAAACAATTAGTGAACTGAGATTATTTTTCATACTCTAATATATACGTTATTTGAAGACAGAAAAAAATGTTGACGATATAATGACTTAATCTTTTTCCAAACTTGATTAAAAAAACCAAAACTTAAAATTTACAGATCCAGGAAACTCAACAAACCCCAAGCACAAGAAACATAAAAAATATACCTAAGCACATCATAGTCAAATTACTTAAGACCGTTTACAGGAGAAAATTTTCAAGAAGAAGGCTGTCACCAAATTTCTCAGCAGAAACATGGAAGCAAGAAGATAGTGGGAAAATATCATTAAAATACTGAGCTATGAATGATGTATTTCGAAATAACTAGTAGAGTAATAATTCCCAAAACATAGATGTACAAATGTGTCTCAATAAAAGATATACATGCTTTAAAAAGTCACAATAAGATTAGAATGATTTGACTGAAAAGTGTAGTGTCTACTGAGGTCAACTTTTAAAATGTCTAATCCTATACAATAGTTGGGACTTGATAAATGTAAACCTAATTAGATGGATCTAATTAAAATTCAGTAGTAAATAAATATTAAAAATTACCACATAACAGACAAAGAAATGTTAAATAAAAAATAGACACTTTGCTGGTGGAGTGGCTCAAGTGGTAGACTGCCTGCTTAGCAAGTGTGAGGCCCTGAGTTCAAACCCCAGTACTGCCAAAAAAAAAGTTAAAACCAGACACTTTGTTAAGATATTTATCTTTTCATAAATATGACACGTGATCCCTCAAACCAATGGGAGGTCCTTGAGGTCAGGAATTACAATTATATTTGATTCTGCTTAAAGACCTTCAAAATTATCTGACATAACAATAAGGATTTACTGATTGGAAAAATACTGAAAGAAAGTCTGCCAATCTAGAATTCTACAACCTACAAACATATTTAAAAAAAAAAGGTAAATGACAGACATTTTCAGTCAAAAATCCTGAAAGAAATGATCATCAGCAGACTTATGACAGAAAAATTTTAAGGGAACTTCTTTGGGCACAAGGAAAATAATACAAAGATGAAAACCCACAACTATACAAGAGTATTATAACTATGTAAAGTTTGCCAAAGGCTTTTTTAGAATCTATGAAAAAAAGAATATGAAACTTCCTAATATTAAACTATGAATGTACCCCACTCCAACAGGTAATGATCTATTTAATGTAGTTCAACTTTTTTGCTTTGCTTTGAGATGGGGGTCTTACTATGTAGCCTAGGCTGGCCTGGAACTTGCTATGTAGCCCAAGCTGGCCTCAAACTCATGATCCACCTACCTACCTCAGCCTCCTGAGTATTGAGATTACAGCTATGAACCACCATGCCTAGTTCAATTCAACTTAGTTTTAAAGCTAAATGTTCTTAGAATTTATAATCTCAAAAATATCTATAAAGATAACATAAAGAAACATTGAAGACCATACTTAGGCTATGGTCAAAATGTATCATTTTCTATGCTGTTTAGGTACTAGCATATTAGGTTATGAAAAAGCTAGTACAACCAATTTGGAATTACCAAATTTCTCTTGCAGACAGCTAGAGAGTAATAATCACAGTGAAGATATATAATTTATCTTTCCAAATATTTGTTAGAAGGAAAATAGCATTGCCATCTCTTTCATAGGAAGATAGAACTACAAGGTCCATGTAGCTCCTACTTCCCCTGGTAGCTTTAATGTAACATTCATTACACGACAGTGTCAATGTGACTTTAAGGAGGAGTCACAAAAAATTCAGGAAGAAAGGATGCCATAGTCTCACCTTTGTCAAAGAAGTATGAAACTCATCATCATATGTAAATGAATGCTTACATTTTGTAGCTTTTGCACAGCTTTTCCAAGCATAGAGCTTAATTAATTTTTACTGATAATCACTGGCAAGGCTTTAATAAATTTACCTCTGCAAAAGGACTATACTTAAAGGCCTGGTTAGGTAAACAAGTTCAGCAATTGTTCAGCATTAATCAGCCAAGAGTTATAAGTGCTCATACTAATGAGTATAGGTCCTAAAAGCAGGTAGAAATATACCGGATATCCCACTCTTCTTCCTTTCTTCCTTCCTTCCTCTTTCCTCTCTCCCTCCAATTTCCCCTTCTTTCCCACACACCCACATACACAAGAAAGGTACCGAGCAGACAAGAGTATGGTATCCTCAAACACTTGCATCTGTACACATTTCTATCCTTGGGAATGAAATCTGACAATCAACTTGAGGTATTAACTTTAAACAAGAGTGATAAACCAAAAAGAAGACCATTGTCTTCACCGCTTTCTGGCAAATGAGCAAACACACACAGCCCACACACCCACACACCTGACAGGTATCTGGGATATACCAAGTAAAGAAGTAGTACATTGTTCTTTTTCAGGTAGAAGGATAAGAGACTTCATGGACGAAGTTTTATAATAAAAGGCCTTCAAGTTCACTATTATTCTCTTCTGTGATGGCCAAATGGCCATTAATCCTAGCCAGTATACGTTTCATCTCAGACAATTTGGGGTCGTTTTTATATACCCTAAATATTATCACTTTCAAATAGATGTGCCAGTTCAATGTGCAATGCAAAATTAACTGTCTCTGTCAGCAAGTTGTTCAAGGAAATTCTGTCAGTAATACTTGCATTCTTTGTATTTTAGCAGGCTAAGATGAACAAGAATCACAGGAAGTTCAAGTTAAAGAATACAGTTTAACAAAACTTACCCTGAGTTGTGAAATTGCAGCTTTCCCTTCCTCACTTTCTTCATCAAATTCATCATCACTCCACTCCCAGCCTCCATCCTCTGTCTTATGGAGACGGCCACTGGAACCTGGTACTCTCCGAACCTGCTCATTAGAAAAAGATGTGGGTTATGGTGGTGTTTTATGTACACTACACAAAAAACTCAATCATATCTCTCTCCCCAATATCACTTCAACCAATTAACTAGATAATTATTATAATTGTAAGTACTCTCATACAAATTGATACCCTCCACCCTTTACTTGCTCTCTATTCATAAGCTCCGTTACGTTTGATCACAAACTTCTATACTCTGAGTCCAAATGTTAAATACTTCTTATGTGAAGTCACAGGTTAAATTTGACTAACATTGTAATGCCCAGAAAAAATGAGGTTTTGAAAACCCCAAATAAACCCAAGAAAGAGTACATTCTTTTTCCTTTTTAATTGTTGAAATCAAAATTATACTTCAAGAGCACTGGAGCTATGGAAGTTTTGTTAAGAAACATAGTAATTTCCTAACCTCCAAACCTCCATCTTTCCAACAGATAACCGCTCTTAATTCATTTTAGTTTATTCTTTTGGAATTTACGTTCATCTCTCTAATGTGTATGTTAACATTATTCCTGATTTTTTTTTATTTTAGGAATTCTTTATGTATGAAACTTTCCACTATGTATGTATGTATGAAACTTCCATAACTATGGAAGATGAGAATTTCGTTCTATTATGAACCCTCTACTTTTTTCTCAAGATATTATAATTTTGGTAAGATGAATATTTGGTGTTTTATTTAACATGATTCTCTACTTCATCTTCACTGCTGAGCCTTATGGTATATTATGATTTGTTCTTTTTGCTGCATGTCTTTTTTGTTACCTTCGTTGGTAACTCTCCTCCGCTGAGAATGGTTTATCCAGATGGCACCCCACCATCAGTTAAGAGGGCAGAGCTTCCTGGATCACTTGACTCCCCTGTTTTGAGCATAAGTACTTCCTCCAGTATTAGTACTAACATTTATTAAATCCATCTCCACATTTTAATCATGATTTGGTTAAGAAAAGGGTCTGAGTTTACTTTCTGATTTTGAAGATAGTTATCTATCTCCACTGTGTCATTGAGCTCCTCTGTTTATCTTGATTTATCTTGCAGAGGTGCTACTGCGGCTATCGTAACTCCTGATCTTTTCTAACACCTCCTCTCTTCTCTGAAAGGCTAAAAGAGCTTTCATTTTTTTTTTTTTTTTCTGAGACAGGGTCTCCCTGTATAGTGCAGGCTGGACATGAACTAGTGATCCTCTTGCCTCAGTTTCTTGAATGCTAGTTTACAGGCTGTGCCCCACCATTCCGGGCTTATAAGATTTTCTTTTGCTTCCATTATTCTGACCTTCCACAACAGTACAGTATTAGTCTATTTTATTCACTGTTCTAGATACTCAGATTCTTTCAAATCTGGAAACTTATGGCCAATAGTTGTGGAAATTTTTCTTGAATTATTTCAACAATGTCTTTTGTTTTTCTCAGTTCTCCTTTTCTGGAATTCTTTTTACTCAAATGTTGAACTTTCTCAAATGATTCTCTAATATTTCCAATCTTTCTCCTCTGTTATCTGCTACCAGGCCTTTTAGCTCTCTCTTCTGGGAAATTCCCTCAAATTACCCTACAATCTTTTTACTGAATTTTTTCACTACTATGTTTTAAATTTATCGGAGCTTTTTCACTGGTGGTGGTAACATTCTCTGGAGGGCTTTCTTTTTTAAAAATAGATTTATTGAGATATAATTCATATAACATACAACTGACCCACTGAAAGCATAGCATTCAATGACTGTTAGTGTACTTGTACTGTTTAACCATGCTACAATCAAATTTACACCACACCCATTAGAGTTGCTGCCCATTTCTCTCCAATTCCCCCAGTATTAACAACCACTAATCCACCCTGTCTCTATGCATTTTCCTATTCTGAATACTTCACATAGAAGGAATCAGATAATGTAATAACATTTCTTTGACTAGCTTTTTATCAGCTTCTTCTTTTTGTCTTTTGCTTTTTTGGCTATACTGGGGTTTGAACTCAGGGTCTTGTGCTTGCTAGGCAGGCACTTTACCACTTGAGCCACACCCCTGGCCCTTTTTTGCTTTCGTTGTTTTTTAGATAAGGTCTTGCACTTTTAGCTCACAGGCCTTGGACTGTGATCCACCTACATATGCCTCCTGCAGAGCTTGGATTATACATATGTAACACTACACTCATCTTGTGTATTGAGATGGGGTGTTTCTCTCACTTTCTGCCTGAGCTGTCCTTGAATGGTGATCCACCCAATCTTTACCTCCTGATCAGCTGGGATTATAGGCATGTGCCCACCATGCAAAGCCCTTACTAGCATAAGTTTTAAAGGTTCATCCATGTTACAGTATGTATCATTACAGATAAGGTTATGTTTAAAAATGTAAGCTGAATATAAGTCAAAATGCATTTAACACACCTAAGCTAACAAACAAAATAGCTTAGTAAACACAGTATCAACTGTTTATTCTGGTGATCACATGACTGACTGGTTTGTGGCTTGCTGCTACCCAGCAGCTCAAGAGAGTGCAGTACCAAACACTGCTAACCCAGGAAAAGATCAAAATTCAAAGTCACAGCAGTTTTTCTTTTCTTTTTCGAGATAGGAGCTCATATATTGCCCAGTCTGGTCTCAAACTCCTGCACTCAAGTGATCCTTCCTCCTCAGCCTCCCAAATTCTGGGAGACATGCATGCCACCATGTCTACCTTTGCTGTAAAGTTTCTACCCGGATGTACATCACTTCTACACAACCATGAAATTAAAAATTAAGTTGAACCACTGCAAACCGAGCAGTATGTACATGTCATTCTTTTTTATTACCAAATAATATCCCATTGTTATGGACATATTTTATACCACTCATCAGTCAACCAACATTTGAGTTATTTTCACTTTTTGAAAAACACTGCAAGTTTTTAAGTATATATGTTTTTCAGCTCCTCTGGGTCTGCTAAGGGTCGAATTACTAGGTTGTATAACAACTGTTCAGTCACTTCAGGAACTGCTAGACTATTCTTCCAAGTTATTGCATCATTTCATTTTCCTATCAGCAGCATATAAGGGCTCCAATTTCTCCAAATCCTAATGAACTGCTGTTATTACTGGTCTGTTTATGATGGCTTCACTCGTAAGTGCCAAGTGTTATCTCCTTGCTATTTTAATACTGAGCATTTTTCTACATGCGTATTTGGCCATTTGTATTTCTTCTTTGAAGAGATTTCTATTCATATCCTTTGCCCATTTTTTAAACTAGGTTGTCTATTCATTATAGAGTTGCAGGAGTTCTTTGTAGTCTAGATACAGGTCCCTTATCACATACAAGGTCTTTAAATACACCCTCTGTCTTACCTCACTTTCTTGATGGTGTTTATTGAAACACAAAAGCTTTTTATTTTCATGAAGCCAATTAATCCATTTTTCCTCTGACTCCTTGTATACTGGTGTCCTATCTTCGCAAGCTTGGCCTGACTTAAGGTACCTAGTATTTACCCCAGTACACAATTCCCCCTTATCCATGGGGAATACATATTCCAAGCCCCTCAGTAAGATTCCTGAAACAACAAATAGTACTGAACCCTATATAAACTGCTTTTTCTTATACACACAGAACTATGATAATTTATAAGCTAGGCACAGTTAACAGATTAACAATAATAACGAATAAAAAAATACAGCAATTATAACAATACCTCAATAAGATTGCCAATATCACTACTCTCGCACTGTAAGTCCATTACTGAGTAAAATAAGGGTTACTTGAATACAGGAACTGTGATACAGGACAGTCAATCTGATAACTAAGACTAAGTGGGTAATGGACAGGTAGTATACAGTGTGGATATGCTTGGACAAAGGGGTAAATCCATACCTGGGATGGTACCTGACAAAAGCAGATTTTAGCAAGCTACCCAGAACAGTATACAATTTAAAACTTACTAATTGTTTCCTTCTGAAAATTTCAATTTAATGTTTTTGTTCTACTGTTAACTGAAAGCAAGTAAAGCTGAAGCAAGTACATATGAAGTAGAAGTACTACACTTTCTTCCAAGTGTTTTACAGTCTTAGCTCTTACATTTCAGTCCACAATACAACTTAAGCTACTTTTAAAAAAATACAGTAAGATGAAAAGACTCAACTTTAATTTCATTTTTGTGTGTGGATATCCAGTTATCCAAGCACCATCTATGGAACACTAAAGTGGCCTGGTGCAATTGCTTCTTCTGCAACAGGATAATGTTCATCTTTTATAAATGCAAACTCTTACAACTGAGGAGTTAAGAAAACTGGCTATTTACATGTAGAAGATTAAAACTAGACCCCTATCTCTCACCCTATATAAAAAACAACTCATAACAGATCAAAAACCTTAATGTAAGACTTGTAGCACTGAAACTACTACAGACAAAACTAGGGAAACCTCTGGAAGATGTAGGCATAGGTAATTTATTTTCTGAATAGAACTCCAATTGCCCAGGAAATAAGAACAAGAATTGACAAATGGGACTGCATCAAATTAAAAAGTTTTCATACATCAAAAGAAAGTTACTAGAATCAAGAGACAACCTGCAACATGAGGGAAAATCCTCTTTAGCTACTCAACAAATATACGATTAGTATCCAGAATACACAAAGAGCTTTAAAAACAAAAACTAAATAGCAAAAGAACAAATAATCCAGTTAACGAATGGGCAAATGAATTGCACAGCTGTCAAGAGAAGAAATATAAATGTCTAATAAGTACGTGAAGTGATCGTTCAACATCTTTAGCCATAAAAAATGCAAATCAAAATTACACTGAGACTCTGTCTCACCCCAGTCAGATTGGCAATCATCAAGAAAACAAATAACAACACATGCTGGCGAGAATGCAAGAAAAAAGGAACCTCATACACCATTGGTGGGAATGTAAACTAGGGCAACCACTATGGATATCGGTATGGAAGTTCCTCATAAGGAAAACCTTATGACTCCACCATACCACTCTTGGGCATATATATGCCCAAAGGAATGTAAAATAATTTATAAAAGGAGAGAGAGAGATCTGCATACCATGTTTATGGCAGTTCTCTTCACAATAGCCACAATGTGGAGACAGCTGAGATGCCCAACAACCAATGAATGGATAAAGAAAACATGGTATACACACACCACACGCAGACAACATTTGCAGGAAAATGGATGGATCATGCTGAACAAAATAAGCCAAGTTCAAAAAGCCAAATATTGCATATTCTTTCTCATTTGCTGAACCTAGACCCAAAATGATGATGATGATGATGGTGTGATAAGAATGTATATGGGAACTGCACACAGGTGGAACAGCAGGAGGAAGAAAGGAAAGTATACTGAAGGGTGAAGATTACGGAAGTACACTGTATATATACATATGAAAGCAGCATAATGAAACCCACCAAGCACTGTTTGAAAAATGGGGAAGAGGGAATGGAAACATAATGGAGTTGGTAAACTTGTTCAATGTACACTGTATACATATATGGAATTATCATAATGAAATCCCCTTATATATTAATGTATTATAATTCAAAAATAAAAAACAATTTAAATATTTTTCTATACCTAATCTGTTCAGTTTTTTAAATCATGAAAGGATGTTGAATTTTATCAACTGTCTCTTCTAAATCTGTTGAGATGATCATAGTTTTTGTCCTTCATTCTGCTGATATGTTGTATCATTTTTATTGATTTTTTTGCAAATGATGAACCATCCTTGCATCCATGGGATGAAACCTACTTGATAATGGGTGAATAATCTTTTAAATGTGTTGTTGGATTTGCTTTGCTAGTATTTTGCTGAGGACTTTTGCATCTGCATTTGTCAAGATACTGACCTTCAGCTTTCTCTTTTTGTTGTTAGACAACAAAAATAAAAACAATTTTTAAAAAATAAAACTTAGCTGCTTTCCTACATGTTTCATTTAAGGCTTTTTTTTTCTTTGTGTCCTTTTTATCCTCTATCTTTTGCATTAGGAGGTTGTCCTTGGATTCCCTGTGATCCTAGATTTCTGCACATATTTAAGACTGGAAGTAGTGAGCTTTTAAGAGGATAAATTTGCTAATAGCTTCACCATAGAAAGATCTGGATGGTCATTTCACAGGACAACCCTCAACATCAGTACTTTTAAGTCTTCCCTCCTGGACTAGTCAGATTGATTAGATCCTCCAATGCCCTATCTATAGGATAATAAGCTTTTATTGTTTGTAAATGAATGAATGTGACTGGAGACTCTTAACATCCAGTATGTAAAATTCACTTAGATACTCACTTTCAGAGAGTCATTCCTATCTTCAGCTGTGCCTTGTGTCTTCAGTTCAGACACCATTTCTTTTCCCTTTCTGCAGAATAAACCGCCCTACACCTCCTGGTGTGCAGCATGGAGTAGGGGAAAGGAAGTAGAGTCTAACTTTATCTTAACACTTTCAACCAAACCTCCTGATTTTAGTCCCACTTTCATTCTCATGTCTGGAGGTACATGGTATTACTAGTTCATGTACCTTCTGGGGTTCTGTTGTGTCAGGTAGCTTTTTAAAATTTCTTTAATATTGGCTTAGCAATTACATTTCTCTGATTTGCCAAGTTGCTTACAACTAATTTAATCATATTTTGAAAACTTGCTTTCCACTTTCAAGTCTCTCATTTTTTTTGTCAATTTGGGGTTATGAACTTTCTTTTTGTTTCTCTTAATGGATCTTTGACTAGGTAGAGGGTAGACATAAATGTAGGTATTCACTGTGCTATCCTTTTTTTTGGTGTGGTACTAGAAACTGAACTCAGGGTTTCATTCACAAATGGTAAGCAAGTGCTATACTACTAAGCTACATCACCAGCTCTTTTTAAAAACTTTTAGATGGAGTCTTGCCAAGTTGCCAAGGCTGGCATCAAACTTTCAATACTCCTGCCTTGGCCTCATAGGAATATACCACCACACCCAGCTAGTGCCATCCTTTTGAGGCTCACTCTTCTTAACTAAATCAGACTACAGACACTAAATTAACATGTCTTTCAGTTACGATTTACTGTGAACAATTATAACACTGTGATTTTAATACATACTCAAATTATTTGTACAATATTTACCATGTATCAGGAATTAATGTAAACCTACTGAAGATATAACAATAAAGAAAAGGACCTATCTCATTTTGCTCTAATGGTGTAGAAAGGCTGTCAAATGTCAGAGTTAAGTTCCTAAAAGAAAATAAATTGGTATATACAGATATGTGATGGGATAATGTTAAGTGCTATTTTACTTAAGGTAGTGAAAGAAAACATTTTAGAAAACATGAAGTGGAAGAACAAGACACAGTACATCTCATTAAGTGGCTACTGAGACAAGTAATCTGCCAGAGCTAAGACTTCAGCTGGGGTGATGACACTTACTGTGTTTCTTGTTCTTTTAGTGATTTCTGGATGATGCCTACCAATAAAGGGAAAGAACACCCTGGAAAAAAGTACAGCAAGTGAAAATATCCTGAGGTAGGAAGGGGAATATCCTGGGAGGTAGACTTTAAGTGTCAGGACAAAAAGCTAGGAAACAGTAGAAAACTTATTGGCACTTCTCAAGAACTCTAAAAAGAAAAGCAGGTCCCTTAATAAACATAACTGATATATCTCTAAAGTAATGACAAGTTAACTGTGCTTGTAAGTGCTTCATAAGAATATAATTTCAAAGAGCTTAAAATACTTTTCTTGTTTTTTACTAAACAAAGCCTACTGAATAATAAGAAATACTAAGAATATAATAATAAGAATAATCAAAAATCACAGGCAGGGAGAACTATGGAATACAGTAAGCCACTACTACAATTATTCTAACTTCCCAGAGGTTCCTGCACTATATTAGATGAAGCACAGGATCTTTACCTTCTCCTTTAAGTCTATCACCATTAGGAACAAGCCCAGCTGCCTTATTTCCTTACCACTGGATAAATCTGCTTTGAGAACAGAAGTAAGAATAAGGAAGACTGAGGGTTTTTCCCCTAGAAGAATAGAAAACTCATATATTTTGTCTAAACTGGGAACTTAATGCAGTCTCTATGTTCACAATAATGACCACAGTTCTTAGAAATTATGTATGCCTAACAAGGTTCTCTTGCTATTTCAGTAAAAGCAACTGAAAGTTCAGAGCTAGAAATAGGTACTGTGACTTACATCCAAAGCTATAAATAGTATGCAAACCCTCAACTCACTCCAGAATTTGCAAACAGTGATTAAATAGGGGTTAAAATTAACACACCAATTCCTGTTCAGTATACCTTTTCATTCTAGTAGATAGCAAAGTAATACCTAGGCATACAGGAAACCAATAATATTTGCTGAATGACTGTATCAAAGAATATTTTAGAAAAGGTTAAGTAATCATCATTCCTGTTAACAGAGTATTATTTAACATCTATTTTCAAAATGCACAAAGTAAATCTAGTCTATGTGATTTCCTAAGGAAAAAAATGTTCATTTACCTTTTTAGATCTTTCAGAAATGGTAGGTGCTCTCTGTAATATTTTTTCTTGTAGAAATTCCTTATTCTGGAGGCAGAAAATAAATATTTTATTCTTAAATCAACATAGAAATAGTTCACATATTTCTAAATATTCTAGAATAATTATTCATAGAATAACTAGTGTGAAACAGTAACTGTTTTATGAAGAAGGATTAGGAAACTTTCATTCTGTTAACCATGGCTTCATCAGTTGAGACAGAGCTTTATTGAGCTGTATGAGCCATTTTCTATAAAAGGTTTGCTTTATTAAATGTCCTTTGTTGGTTCCCTATTTCCAACTATAGTAACATCCTTGGGAAAATGAGACACTTACTAGTTCAGTAGTAAACTTTGAAATGAGAAGTTCAATGTTTTTCATAGATCACTTTCACAATGGCAAAAATGAATATTCACTATTGTTGTGATACATTTAACCTGGAATTTGATTTACACAAAAAATACATTTACTAAATTCCAAAGCAAGTATCCTAATTATCAAAGATTATATACATAGTGCCCTCAGCAAATATCTTACCTCCCATTATTCTTCCAAAGATAATCACCTTAAGAAATGCAACTTATGAATAGTGAACGTAACATGGGAAATTGAGGAACATGCATGAACACATAAGCAAAAGCTAGAATTTCCTACCTTTGCTTTCTGGAAAAATTTATGCCTTAACAGTTCTGCTGCTGTTGGTCTAAAACCAGAAAAGAAAGTTTGCGTAGTTAATTCAAGTATAATGTGAATTATTATCTTCAAAAACTGAGAAAATGATTTCTTTCACCTCCTAAAATACAAAAAGTAGGACAATCTTGGTAACAAGACATGGAATAGAATAAAAACTGAAAAACTGTTCTAATAATTCTAGATTCTTTGAAAATTTCATTAGTAAAATGTTGATCTGGAAGAATGATTTCTAAGTGGCTTACAATCTATTTGCTATTTAATAAAATTTCCCAAGACTAAAAGCTGTAGCAAACCATAAAAATATATTTAAGCTCTAACAAAAGAAAAAAAAAACCCAAAAAAATATATATATATTTAAGCTCACAAAGAGCAAATGGACTTAGTCCAGCCCTCTACTTGTTACATGCTGCCTAACAGGTTTCAACTTAAGGCAGCTATAGATTCTTAAAAATAGATTTCACCAAACATTGTATGCACATATGAATAAAAGAAAAAATAAAAAAATAAAAATAAAAAAAGATTTCACAATTTCCCTTTAAAAACAGAAGATTGTAAAAGTGTATTCCTTAATTTAACTATAATCTTATTTCATTTGAATAAATTCATCATTATCAACCTTACAAAAATTTTATCACTCAGAATAAAGAATTTTATATTTAAAAGTCCACACGTGATTGTCACTTATTTAATACTTACCATGTAATTCTACACAAATTACAATTTGTCTAACCAAGTTTCTAAGAGCAGGTTTTTGATGTTGTAGGGTTGTTTGTTTTTGCAGTGTGAAGTCAAACCCAGGACCTCACATAAGTACTCTACCAGTAACTTACATCCTCAGCCTGAGCAGCGATTCTAATGTACTGCTATGCATTAGATTATCTGGGATGTATTTAAAAATCCCAGTTACCAGACTGTTTCTCACCAATTGAAGCAGAATATTTGGGAGCAAGACCCAGGTATCAGTAGTTTTTACAATTCCTTTAGCAATTCCAATAGGCATCCAGACTTGAAAAACCAGTGCCTTGTAGATTAAGAAACAAATAGGTCTGGCAGATTGGCTCAAGTAATAGAGCACTAGTCTAACAAGATTTAGGCCCTGAGTTCATACCCCAGTGCCACCAGAAAGAGAGAGAAAGAGGGAGAGAAAAAAAGGAGGGAGACAGGATACAATTAAGGCTAGTATTATTTTCTCACTCAGCCCAGATTTCAATGTTTCAACAACTTATCTGTCCAACATAGCTTCTTACTATTATTCCTTTATTCTGGATTCCTGCCCTTAAGTCTTTTTTTTTTTTTTTTTTTTTTGCCAGTACTAGGGTTTGAATTCAGGACCTCAAACTTGCTAGGCAGGTACTCTACAACTTGAGCCATGCCACTAGCCCTTTTTTGCTTTTTTTAGTTATTTTTTTGCAAGTGCCAGTCTTGGACTATGATTCTCCTACCTACCAAACTCCTGTGTAGCTGGGATCATAGGTGCACATCAATCACCATGAAGATTACTGACTGATACGGAGTCTCATCAGCTTTTTGCCTCAGACACCCTCGAGCCCTGATCACCCCAATCTCTACCTTGCAAATAGTAGGGACTATAGGCAAGAGCCACAACCAGCTCGTGTTCTTCTAAAGTAGAACTTTTGGAAGAGTTACCTAATAAGACGTGACCAGAAAATTCAATTTCGTAAAAAATATCTTTATTTTATGCTCATTCTTGAATGATAGTTTGACTACACAGAAAATTCTGGACTAAGACAGTTATTTTCTCTCATCATTATTTAACCATACACAGGCCTCAACTGTTGTTACTGGGGAAGTGGTTGTCAGTTTACCTTATACCTCAGTAGCGTTCTGTTCTCTGAGGGTACATGTAAGAAGTTTCATGACAATATGTACACAGAGAAGGAGATACTGTTTGGAATCTGGAGGAAATGGTACTTTAATCTGAGTGTACAGGTCTTCAATATTGGAAAATTCTTAAGTCATTATGTCTTTGAATATTGTTTCTCCTACCCTCTCTCTAGTCTCTCCTGGTAAATCCACACATGTGTATAATGTAAATGCATAAATTTGTGTTTATGTATGTACAGGTTGAGCATCCCCAATCCAAAACTCCAAAATTCCAAAATCTGAAATACTGTGAATGCCAACATGATGCCACAAGTGGAAAATTTCACACCATGAAATTTTGTTTCATGTACAAAATTATTAAAGATATTGTATAAAATCACCTTCAGGATATGTGTAAAAGGTGTATAGGAAAAAATGAACTTTGGGCTTAGATCTGGGTCCTTTCCTCATAATGAAATATACATATTTCATTATGTATATGCAATTATTCCAAAATCCAAAATAAATCTGAAATTCAAAACACTTTTGAAGCATTTCAGACAAGGATATTCAACCTGCACATATGCATGTGTGTGCACACACAGACTCTTCTCATCTTTCAAATGTTAACATTGCTTTCATATTCCTATCATTCCTCTTTCTGTGCTATCTTCTGAGCAATTTCTTCAGTATAGTGTAGTGAGATAAAGAGCACGTACTTTGCAAATTGCATAGATTGGAATCTTAATTCAACTATTTATTAGACATATGACTTAATCTCTGGTTCAGTTTCTTCATTTGTAAAACACAAAGTAAGAGTGTTACCCTTGTAGAATTACTATGAGATTAAATGAGATGACACATATTAAACATTTGTAATAGTATCTATACTTGATGAGACAATAACTAGCCATCTTTTCTATTTTACTGGAGTTTCTGTTTAACCAATCCACTGAGGGTTATTATATTTTTTCTAACTTAGAAATGTCCTAAACAGTTTAATTTTGATTTACAAACTGGAATAGATTTTCTATGCTTCCCAGGTTTTTTTCTTTTTTAAAAAACTTTTTATTTTGACACAATTTCAGACTTATAAAAGTGCAAAAATAAGAGTTCCTACATGCTCTTGACCAGTTTCCATTAATGTTAACATTTTACATGATCAAGTTACAATCATCAAGAAGTTAACATTGACACAATACTATTAACTAAACTACAGACTTGATGCCCTTTTTCTGTTGCAGCATCTAATGCAGTACACCTGTTGCACTTAAGTCTCCATGCCTTGTCTACTCTAATAGGTAACATTTTTTCAAGTCTCTCCTTTTCATGACACTTCAAAGAATACTGGTCAGACAACTTGGGTTTGTCTGATATTTTTTCATTTAAACATAAAGTTATAAAATTGGGTGAAGAATACTTCATAGATGAAGTGTCCTGATTGCATGATCAGCAGGTACATTATGGTCTATGGCCATACCACCCTGAACGCGCCCGATCTCGTCTGATCTCGGAAGCTAAGCAGGGTTGGGCCTGGTTAGTACTTGGATGGGAGCAGGTACATTATGCCTTAACTTGATCAGTTGGTGGAAAAATACCTATCAGGTTTCTTCAATATAAATTTGCTAATATTTCTTTTTCATACTTTATTCAATCAGAAGCAAATCACTCTCCAGCCCACACTCAAGGGAAGCCACTAAGTTTTAAATTTTAATTATTATATGTTTCATTTCTAACAGTGCTGTTTGTCTTCTATATGCTCACAATTTTTTAATTTCTTTTATGATTTTAATTATTCAAATAAGTTTAGAATCTTTTCAGGTATCATTGCATTATCTAAAGTTCTTGCAAAACCAATCCTTCTGCTTATGTCTGCCAACTCTAGTTCACAGTGTATTTTTTTACCATGTGCATTATAATTTTGGATTGTGACTGTCTTCAATGGAACACTGGAATCAGTGCATTTCTGAGATTGCTTCAACCAAAAATAAAACTGTCACAGCAATAATTTTTTTTTTTTTTTTACTTTCTAATCCTTTGGATTCCTGGTTAACAGGGAAGTATAAATTTAGACTCTTAACCTGAAGAATGTCAGGAGGATCAAAGAGCTTGATTATTCAGGAGAAATTTGTGTTACCTCTTAGTGATGATGATGCATAGTTTTATTCTGGTTTATCCTTTTCCTAAGGATATGGATTTCTAGAGAATGGGGACTGACCTCAGGGCCTCATGCTTGCTAGGCAGGCACTCTATCTCTAGAGCCACACCCTCAGTCTAGGGTGTAGATTTCTGATGGTCTTAGCTTTAAGCAGGATTTCAGTTCAAAATCCCCTCTGGTGGGCCCATTCCAGTCACATCACAAGAGACAGAAATACAACCTAGTAAATTATTGGAATAAATATTTTCCCACTAATCTAGAGGTCACAGAACTATTTCCTATTTCTTCTCTTTCACTTATGGCTTTTTCATTATTTCTGACATCCAAAGATCTTTAAGTTTACAAGATTTTTATGTGGCATTTCTAGTATTTGTAACAGAGAATTTGTTCTTTAATAAACTAAACTGGCAGATGCGTAAGTGTTATCTTTCTTTCTTTAGTCATTTACTCAGAAACAGAAAAAAAGTCTAAAAACATTCATGAACTTTGCTGCCTGTTTTTCTTACCCTTTCCAATATTTCCAACAGTAAATTCTGAAGCCCAATTACATATACTAGAGACATGATCAAGGATGTCAAAGTCTTTTACTTTTCTCGACCTTTAGAGAAAACAAAATTAAACAATTTTTAGTGCTGAGAAACTTGGTGGAAAATATAGTTGTCCCGTGGTTTCCCAGGAGAATTGGCTCCAGGACCCCGTGCAAATACCAAAATCTGCAGCTGCTCTTATATGACATGGCACAGGATGTGCACATAACCCACATAATCCTCCACACACTTAAATCACCTCCACGTTTTATAATGTCTAACATAACATAAGTGCTGTGTAAACAGTTGTTACCCTGTATTGCTTAAGAAAAACAAACCAAAAAAAAATCATGTTCAGTACATTTTTTTTTTCAGAATATTTTTAATCTCCTGGTAGGATGACTGTGTGAATATAGAACCTGTGGAAATGGAGGGCTCACTAAATAAACCATAGTGCAAATGGAGCCCTAAATTAGAAGTTTCAGATCTAAGTCCTATCTCTTTGATATGTGTCAAAAATAAAAGGTTGTACTCAATCATCTCCAGCATTCTATAATGCTATTTAATAGAGATACACACATTAGATATTCCTATTTATTTGCTTACTTGCCATTAAATCTATCTAGTTTGGACAAGGAAGCTGTGTGAAATTTTGATTCACTTACTAAAATCTTTCAAACATGAAAAGTACTATTATTTAGCACTAAATATAAATGTGCCATGTATAATTTTTGTTATTAACTTGTAGATGTCATTAAGATATTGGTTTACTTATCAACTTTTAGTGAAAACTGAAAAGAAACCTATCCCACTGACTTAACCTTCTACTAATACAGAATTCACAATATATGATTTTATAATTGTAAGAAAATTAACCAGGAACTATTTAGGGTCCACTATATCCTAAAAAGATAGAAATCAATTTAGTCACTTCCAATCTCATCTAATGGTCTTTCTATACTTTTTAAATGAAGGTTATATTTATTCCTTTTAGAATGTGCACAAATAATTTATATATGTGTATGTGTGCGCTTCTTAGACTTTCCAAAATGGCTCAAATACTAGATGGAGAGAAAAATGAAGTTTATCTCATATTTTACCTTTTTTCTGGATCCTTCTGAAGGCATAATGAAATCATTTTTCTAAATGATTTTCCATATTTTTTCAGCATTTCTTTATCTTGAACACCAGTTTCCAAAGAAGGAGGATCATTCTGCAGTGTCAGCATTAAAACCTGTAAGAATTTTTCAAAATAGTGTAAACTTCTGTCAATTCGGTAAAGTTCCATTAACCTCTATGGTCAAGGTTTTTCACTATAGATGAACCCTCCCCCAAGCACATTTTACTTCCTAAAAGTTCATACCTAGGTCCATTGTTTAGAACCTGTTATTTATGTGTTCCACATCAGTAATATGCTGCAAACGGCTGGCTTCCCACAAGACTGGCCCACAAGGACCCAACTGTTTCAACTATGCTATGTCCTTTAGTTAGAATCTTTTCTTTCTTCACATCTGCCAGTCTTAAAACTACCTTCAGTCAGGCAAACTACCTTCAAAAAAACAAAAACATTAAAACCACAACAAAGTGTGGCCTTGTTTTTTTCTTGTGGTCTTCTCTTACTAGAACTTCTCAGAAACTTCCATCACAGAAATTGCCAATGATGTCCTAGTAACAAAGCTACAGACTTTTTAGTCCTGTCTTCCTGCTTCCCCTGCAACAACTGACAATTTTAGTTATCTGTTCATCCAAAATCCCTTCCATTTTTGGCTTCATGGCAATATACTAGTTTGATGCACAGAGCTATAAGGAATGAAGGTTATACTTCATTGGGTTATTTCTGTTTTCCTACATTGTTTGACTTTTTATGTGAAAGCATCTGCCATTTTATAAACATAAAATCAACAGTAGAAAAACAAAAGGGGGCCATAATCAGTGTTATTACTTGCTCTCCTAATGTTATTTACATTTACTGAAACAGAATTAGTAAAGGTGGTAATAAGCCGGGCATCGGTGGCTAATGCCTGTAATCCTAGCTACTCAGGAAGCAGAAATCAGGAGGATCGAGGTTCAAAGCCAGCCCAGGCAAACAGTTTACAAGCCCCTATCTTGAAAATACCCAACACAAAAGAGGGCGGGCAGAGTGGCTCAAGTGGTAGAGCATCTGCCTAGCAAATGTGAGGCCCTGAGTTCAAACCTAAGTACCACCAAAAAAAAAAAGTAACGTTCCTCTTCTTGAGTGAACAGGTTGACATGTATATCTGGCTACGATCACATGATTAACAACAGTTTCATATGGATGAAAAGTAAGCCTCATCATTCCCCATCCACCACCACCTTCTTTAAAAAAAAAAAGCCATTTGATTGGGCTAAAAAAAAAAAAAAGCAGCAGCAGCCTCCCAGCTTGCAGTTGTCCTTTGTGAAACCTGGTGAATACTCACTTACTTATAAGAGTCTAAAACCTCTAGGTAAAGCATGGTCTTAAAATATTCTTACCTTCCAAATGATTAAAATTATCACCCATTACATGTGTAGATCACTAAAGGTATGTTTGAGTATGGAGCTATAGGAAGGTATTTCATTAAATTCTTTTACTGGTTTGGTCCCCCTCTCTACATCATCAGATCCTTAAGGGACAGAATCCAACAATATACCTTCTACAAAAGATGCACTTTAGATGCACATGTTGAAGGTGAAGAATAGAAAAAATTTTCCTTGAACATAATAACAAAAGAAAGCATGTTGGGTATAGTGGCTCATGCCTGTAATTTTAGTTACTCAAGAGGCAGAGATCAGGAGGATCTTGGTTCAAGGCCACCAATGGCAAATAAAAATCTGCGTACAATGGTGCATGCCTGACAACCCAGATACATGGGAAAGTAAGTAGGAGGATAGTGGTCAGTCCAGATCAAACCAAACATAAAAGCGAGATCCTATTTGAAAAATAACTAAAGCAAAAAAGGACTGGGGCATGGCTCAAGTGGTAAATTGCATGGTTAGCAAGCTCAAGGCCCTGAGCTCAAAACTCCAGTACTGAAAAAAAAAAATTGTCTATACTAAAAGATAAAATGCTTTAAATTTTAGTAAAAGGTTAAAAACACAAAGAACTGAATTATATACTAGTAAGAGGTTCAATACAATAAAAAATAAAACAATTCCTAAACATACATGTACCTAATGACAAACCATCAAAATATATGACACAGAAACTAAGAAATGAAGAAAGAAATACAGTTCTACAGTAATAGTTTGGAGACTTCAAGCTCATTTCTCAGAGAGAAAATAAGCAGAGAAATACAGGGCTTAAAAAACACAATAAACCAACATATACATAGAACACAAGAATGACAGAACATATGCTCTACTCAAGTGGACATAAGACAACTTCCAGGACAGACCATACATAAGGCACAAATTAACTCTCAATACATTTTAAAAGACAGAGAAAGCATCTTCTCTGACTACAAAGGCTGAATTTAGAAATCAATAACAGATCTAAAACTGGAAAATTAGAAAGTACTTCTAGTTCCCCTGGTTGTTGTTGCATCGTGTTAAGTTTCAATGTGCTGTGTTTTCATTTTTGTACATCTGAGTACTTTCTGATTTCTCTTGTTGCTTTTTTTTTTTTTTATTTGATACAGGGTCCTGTTGGCTCCAACTTGTGATTCTCCTGCCTCAGTCTCTCAAGTAGTAAAAGCAGGTGAAACCCACCATGCCCACTTTGTGATTTCTTCTTGGTATGTTGGTGTGTGTTAATTTCCACATTTTTGTGAACTTCCCAGATTTAGTGTGATTAGTAATTCCTAAATTCAACCTTCTGTAGTCAGAGAAAATGCTTTCTATACATCTTTCTTAATGTACTGAAACTAAATTAAGTGTTTACATTACAAAAAAAATATGTTACATCAACAACCAAACTTTACAACTGAATCAATTGTGGGGAAAAAAAGCCCTAAACCTAAAACTGACTAAAGGAAGGAAACTGTAAAGATCAGAGCAAAGATAAAAAAAAATAAAACCTAGAGAATAGGAAAAACAACAGAGGAAATCAGTGACATCAAAAGTTTTTGAAAAGATCACATATCATCATGAAAGCATGACCACTAGTACATAGATGAAAGAGAAAAAAAGCATCAAATGTTGTCAATACAGAATACCAAATGGAAAAGATACAAAACACAAGAAGAATAAAGAACTAAAGGAGGTACAAAAGACTAGGCAAAAATTAATCAAATAACAGACATCCTCATTTATAAATAATACTCTTGGGTGTAAATGGATTAAATTTCTCAATTAAAAAAGTGGGGTGGATGCATGGATTTAAAAGAAAAACAAAACAAAACTCCAATGATATGCTGCCAACAAGAAACTCATCTCAACAGTAAAGAAGGCATAGGCTGAAAGCAAAGAGAATGGAAAAGATATTCTACACAAATGAAAACCAAAAGTGAGAAGGAGTAGCTACACTTACATGAGATAAAATAGACTTTAAATCAAAAACAGGGGCTGGGTGGATAGCTTAAGTGGTAGAGCCCTGCCTAGCAAACTCAAGGCTGTGAGTGCAAATTCCAATATCCTGACATAAAAAAAAAGTCAAAAAAGAACAAAGGTTACTATGTAATAATAAAGGGACCATTTCAACAAGAGAATACAACAAATGCAAATATTTACATGTTAAATATTACTAGCTATAAAGAGAAAGATTCCAATACAAAAATAGTTCAGGCCTCCAACACTTTACTTTCATCAGTGGACACATCACTGAGACCAAAAAAAAAAAAAAAATCAACAAAGAAACATGTGAGTTAAGCTATTCTACAGAATACAAACCAAATAGACATTTACAGAACATTTTATCCAACAGCTGCAGAATACACGCTCTTCTCATCAGCACATGGGCTTCCCAGGATAGACCACATGTTAGGCCACAAAACAAGTCTCAGCAAATTCAAAACAACTCAAATCATATCATGTATCTTCTCTAAACACAATGGAATAAAACCAGAAATCAACAACAAGAGAAACATAAGAAGGTGAACAAATAACAAGGGAAATTAAACAATATGCTCTTGAACAAATGGGTCAAAAGAAATTTTAAAACAACAAAATTTCTTGAAACAAAAGAAAATGCAAACACAACATACCCAAACCTATGGAATTCAGCAACAGTAGTACTAAAAGAAAAGTTTATAGCCTAAGTGTTTGAAAGAAAGAACAAGAGGGACAGCAACAGGAGGAAGAGCAACAGGAGGGAGGGAGGGAGGGAGGGAGGGAGGGAAGGAAGGAAGGAAATTCAAATCATCATAAAAACGGGACTAAGATAGAAAGGAGAAAAATGGAGGTGATGAACCAACTTGGATATGATACATATATACATGGAAATGTCATAATGAAACACCCTGTATAGCTATCTTAAACAAACAAAAAAATGTCTTTTTTTCAAGAACAGAGGACAAGAAGGTAAGGTGGGTCCCAACTGGGATTGATATTAGCAGAAGAGGGGAGGATATAAGGAAAGGGTGTAAGAAAGTGAACATGGTGGAAATATTATGTACACATGTATGAAAATGGAAAAATGAGACCTATTAAAACTATTCTTTGAGTGGGGGGAGGGAGGATAAAGGAGAATGATGGAGAGGCTGAATTTATCTAAGATATATTGTAAGTATTTTGTAAATGTCACAACGTACCCCAGTATAACAATATGATAATAAAAGTTTTTTAAAAAGAAATAAGAAAATAAAGGACATGGAAACAATTAGGAAAGAAAAGATAAGATCCCAATAAACAACCTAATGTTGTAACTCAAAGGGACTAGAAAAGAACAAGGCAGACAAAAAATTAGTAGAAGGAAAGAAAAGATCAGAGCAGAAATAAATGAAACAGACTTAAAAAAAAAAAAAGAACAAAGTTGATTTTTTGAAAAGATAAACAAAATCAACAAGCTTTTACTTATACTAATGAATAAAAGAGAGAGAGAGAGAGAAGACCCAAATACATAAAATCAAAATTATAAAAAAGAGGAGACATTACAACAGATACCACAGGGAATACAAAAGATTAAGAAATTCACGCCTGTAATCCTTGCTACTCAGGAGGCAGAGATCAGGAGGATCATGGTTCAAAGCCAGCCCTATCAAATAGTTTGTGAGCCCCTATCTCAAAAAAAAAAAAAAAAAAAATCACAAAAATGGGTTAGTGGAGTGGCTCAAGGTGTAGGCCCTAAGTTCAAACCCCAGTTCCACACACACACATACAAAAAGAACTTATGGCCAACTATATGCCAAATATTGGAAAACCTAGATTAAAAAAATTCTAGACACATACAACTACCAAAATTTAACCATGAAGACATAGGAAACTTGAAAAAAACAAAATAACTAGATTGAGGCAATAATTAGTCTCCCAACAAAGAAAAGCTCAGAACTCAATGGTCTCATTGCTGAATTGAAAACTTTTGCAGTAACTCCAATTTTCTCCCATCCTATGGGTTGTCTCTTCACTCTGTAGATTCTTCTTCTGCTCTGCAGAAGCTTCTTAGTTTGATATAATCTCCCTTGCCTATTTTTTTCTTTTCTGTCTGTGCTATTTGGGTTTTTATCCAAAAAACTAGCCATACTGATGTCTTAAAGGATTTTCTTCTACTAGTTTCAGAGTTTCAGGTCCTACGTTTAGGTCTTTGATATATTTTGAGTCAATTTTTATATGTGCTAAGAGTTGAGGTTCTAGTTTCATTCTTCTCTACGTGGACATTCAGTTTTCCCAGTACCATTTATTAAAGAAGCTGTCCTTTCTCTAACATATGCTTTGCCTCTGATGAAAGTCAGCTGGTTGTAGATGAATAGGTTTATTTCTAGGTTCCCTATTCTAGTCATTAAATTAACGTCTATTTCTATGCTAGTATTATCATGTTTGACTAATATAGACAGAAAGTAGAACAGTGGTTGCCAGAGAATGAGTAGAAGGGGAATTGGGGGTCATAATTTCATGGGTAAAGTTTCAGTTTCAGAAGATAAAGAGTTTGGATATGGAAATGGTGACAGTTGCACATTCTGAATGTATTTCATATCAATTAACTGTATATTAAAAAATAGTCTGATCCCCAGCATCATAAAAAAAGTAAAAATGGTTCAGTTGGCAATTTTACAGTAGAATAGTAAATATTTTGCCAAAATTTAAAAAAAAACAAAAAAACTTGGAGAAAGACAAAGACTATGAAGGGTAAGAATGGCAAATGAAGAAAAGCTCTGAAAAGGAACTGTGATTTGAACTAGGGATATGAGCATTACCTTCATTGGAGGATATTTATGATAAGGAGCTGCCCCTGTGGCCAGTTCAATCGCTGTGATTCCAAAACTCCAAATATCAGCTTTGAAATCATACCCTCGGACCTACAAAGAACAGAGAAATGTACATGATTACTTTACCAAGGCTAAAAGCACTTTTAAAAGGTAATTTCTAATGTGTCATGAACAATGAAAATGTTCATAAGCTTTAAGCCAATAAAATAACCTAAAGTAAGCAAAAGCTAAATATACTTGGTAAAGGAGAAAGAGAAACCCGAAATTTCACCAGCAATAGACAAATTGTTAACTATGATATATGCAGAAGAATATTATATAGTCAGTTAAAAGCAAAGTTTATTAGTTCTACATTAAAACACTGGAAACCCATTTATGATAAAACACTGATGAAGAAAAAGAATATGAAACTGTCATAAGTGTGATACAATTACAATAAGTACATGGTCTATTTAAAAAAACAAAAAGAACAAAATGTTTTGCAATGATCCTAAGACTTCTGTTTCTCCAAATGTTTGATATTATGGTATTATTTTTCATTCCTTTTTTCTTTTTCTTCTTCCTCCATTCCTTTCTTTCTTTTGGGTTTGTTTTGTTTTGAACATGGTCTCAGTATGTAACCCAGGCTGGCCTTGATCCACCTGCTCAATCTCCTGAGTGCTGGGATTACAGGCATGTGACATTCCTGGTTACTTTATCATTACTTCTACAATGAAGAAAGTTACAAATAGTGTGGATGTTTTTAAATATGTGAATATGCTGCCACATTCCTTTTTATTGCTACCAGCCTATTTGCACATTTTAATTTTTTATCCTAATATAGGAGAAATAGAAAGCTGTGCTAACACCTGGTAAAACAGGAGGGCCTCTAATCACCCAAAGACAATTTCCACTCCCCACTCTACTCCTAGTTCAACAATCCTCTCTACCAAACCCCAACCAGGTGCTGCCCCTGCTTATCCCTGCTCCCTGCTAGTGAATTACATCCTTCCAAGGAAACCAAGGGGCATCTCTCTCTCCTCTCTCTCTCTCCCTCCCCCTCTCCATTTATTCTGTTCCTATGTACAACCCTGTGTGGCCCTGTGTGGTCTGCAGTGTCCTCCTCCCTCAGGCTGTACAGGTATGAATTTATGACATTTATGCAAAGCATCTAGAGAGAGCTGGAAGTAATCTACCTGGAGACTTAGGAAATAAGACTGGTTTGCATCCAATGTAAAAATAATTAATTATCAGTAGCACAGATGAGAACATCTGTGTACTCATAGAAGAGAAGAGCCCATCAACTTAGTCTTGGAAAAGGGTGTCATTTAGAAGTAGATGGAGATACAGAGAAGAAATTAAGAGGAATGGTCTAAAAAGCAGTAGTAGAATGAGAAAACTAAAGTAAGGAAGTCAAGGAACAGTCAGAATGATGAATAGTTTCACATGCCATCAAGATAAATAAGTTAAGGAATAAGAAATGAGCAATGGATGTGAGAATTAGCAAAGTTTCCTTAAGGTGATGAGACAAGTGACAACAGGCTGCAATGCCTAAGTCTAATGAGAAATGAACTACAAAAAACATGATTAGGTCACTTAACTTGTACTGAGAAAATTATTTGTTTAAATCTTGATTAGTCCTTAGATTGTCTTTTGGTATAAATGTCTTTGGTATAAGTTTCATATTCCTTTGTAAAGTTATGAGGTGGTTTTGGTTTTGTCTTGTTTTTAAGAATGGACTAAAGTTTTAACCAAGGTATAGAGACACACATTTCCCAAAGCTAATCTACTATACCAAACAAAAACAAACACTGGTAAGATTTTTCAGTTTCATAACAAATTCATAAACCATTTAAAAGAGACAAAAATCACAGTACCTGTTCCATAACTTCAGGTGCCATCCAGCAAGGGGTACCAACAAAGGTCTTTCTCACTTTATTTCGGGTAATATCGCCACCAGTAGCTAAAAAAGCACTAACCCCAAAGTCTGAAATAAAATACAGCAGCATATTACGGTTTGAATAGGATATGTCTCCCACAGGCTCCTGTACTGGGGTTTTGGTTGTCACCTGATGGGCTTTTGGGAAGTGACTGAATCCTGAGGGCTCTGTCCTGATTAGATTAATCCCTCGATGGACTCATAATATGATGGCATTATAAAAGTAGGAGATGGGCCTAGTTGGAGGAAATAGGTCATTGGGGGCGTACCCTAGAAAGATATCTTGTCTCCAGCCCTTTCATGCTCCTGTCTGCTTCTTGGCAGTCATGAGATGAACAGCTTGCTTCACCATGCCCTCCTAATATTCTGCCTCACCTAAGGACCAATGCAATGGATCCAGCCAACCTTAAGACTAAAACCTCTGAAATCATGAGCCTAAATACTATTTTCCCCATTAAGTTGTTTTTCAGGTATTTTATCACAGCAAAGACAAGTCTAGCACAGTATTACATGGATATCATAAATAGACAAGAAACTAATAAAACGTAGTCACCATCTTATACATAATTAAGATAAGCAGCATGGCAGTTTCTCTCTTCTTTTTTTTTTTTTTTTTTTTGTGGCAGTATTGGAGTTTGAACTCGGAGCCTCACACTTGCTAGGCAGGTGCTCTGACACGTGTCCCACTCTGCCAGCCCAGTTTCTCTTCTTTATACCAAATTTTGTGACTAAATTAAGGCAGAGCTTAGCAGGTCTCTTATTCTATTCCTTTACTCTCCCACAGATCATCCTCTCAGATTTTGTTTCTTACTCCAAGTCATTCTTCACAACACTATCAAATTCATTCTCTCTTTTGCTTTCCTTTCCTTTCAATTATCACTTGACCTAGCCTCTCAACTCAAAAAATCCTACAGAATAAAATCCAAAATTTTTATCTTGGTATTCAAAAGCTCAAGAAGCTAGTAATCCTAATCTCATGTCCTGAATTGAACTTTTAATAGCTGTGTGACATTGGTTAACTCAGTTTCCCACTCTAAGTCTCAGGATTTTCCCTATAAAGATTTTATTCCAAAATATCGAAGCCAAAATACTAGGCACTGAGGAGGAGGACTGTCTCACCATGATTCCTCCTCCTCTAAGAATAACTCTGGTCATGTATCTGAGTTCGATGACCTTGCCCCCAGGGCATGTCTGATTCATGTCAAGGCTCAACACCTTAATGCAATCTAGACCACTCACAGTCTCCTAGCAATCTGAAGCTTGAATGCAAAGACAAGAAAAATGAGGGTCATCAGAGCTGAATAATACTAACAATAGCACCCTAACAATCCTGTTAATCAATTCTTTGATTCTCAGCATATTTCAAAAATTCCTGCTATCTTAAGTTAGCCAATGACAATTTCTGATGCAACCAAAGAACCTTAGGCAATATAGTAAAACTTTAGTATACTTTTCCAACAACTTTTATACACCTCATCTGACTATCCTCTTGCTTTCAGAACACTCAGTAGTTGGAAATAAATTATAATAAACCCAGTGTGAGAGAGACAATTTTAGCAAAAATTCTAGATTCGGAAGTAAGTGAATTCATTTCTTCTTGAAGCAAATACTTCCTTGCCTCTATGTAAAACACAAATGTATAGAAAACAGATTTTTTAGAAAAATCTTAATGATTCTCAATGCTCCTAAATGGGCAAATATCTAGTAATTTTAAAATATTGTTCCTTTTGTAGTAACAACAAAAAAGTAAACATTTAAAAGTACATTCAAGGGAGAAAACTACACTGAGTACATAAAGCTCTGAAACTTGCTAGCTGAACTTAAGCAGTTACTTTTAGTCTGTTGGTCTACAGTTTCTTCCTGGGGGCTGGCAGGGTGGCTCAAATGGTAAAGTGCCTGCCTAGCAAGTTTGAGACCCTGAGTTCAAACCTTAGTACCGCAAAAAAAAGAAAAGGAAAACTTTTACAGTTTTTCTCTGTAAAAAGCGGGTAAAGCCGAGAACTGGTGGTTCACATCTGTAATCCTAGCTACTCAGGGGGCAGAGATCAGGAGGATCATGGTTTGAAGCCAGCCTGGACAAATAGCTTGCAAGAACCTATCTTGAAAAAAAAAAAAAAACAACACATAGCTGGTTTGCTTTTGTTTTTAATTTTGGTGGTTGGTGTAGACTTATTTTCAAAATTCTTTTTGTGGTATTAAATACTTTCATGTATTAGTCAAAAGTAGGTTAATTAAGCTTGTTTAATGAAGGCAGACTTATTCATGCTTTCTGTAATCTTCAATTTTTAATAAATGTGAGTTAGATATTAAGAAAAAAAAAAAAACACAAAACAAGAATGGCAGTGACTCAAGGTATAGGACCTGAGTTCAAACCCCAGTACAGCACACACACCCAAAAAAATGTGGGTAATAACAATACCTACAATAAAGGTGTCAAGAATTAAATGAATTATAATATACTTACATCAGTTTTTCAATAAGTAAAAGGTATTATGCCATAAAATACTTAAAATACAATAAAGTTTAACCAAATTATATACAATATATCTTTAGTTTCAGTCCTGAGATTTCTATTTTTTAAAAACCTGCTAAAACTGCCTTTTAAGCTTAGTAGGCAGCACATCAGTCTCATGAAAACCTACGATAAAAACTTCTACTAATCTCAAAATACCGAAAATTTTGAAGCCAGAATTTAGTAAGAATTCAGAATCTTCTGATCTTCAGTTTGTACAATTTGGCTTTTTCCCACGTCAACTTATCAACCTGAAGGCTCTTGATGTGAGAACATCCATTTTACCAAAACGTTCTTATTAAGTAACTTTTTATTAAATTATTTGGCAGGTACAGTGCCAAATATAATCAGGCACGGTGATACACACCTGTAATTCCAGCACTTAGAAGGCTAAGGCATGAAGATCACAAAGAGTTTGAGGCCAGCCTGGGCTACACAGTAAGACCCTGTCTCCTTTCTATGTCAGTCCCCTTCATACACTGACTTCAACAGGTTGAAAAATTCTATATTCATTCTTGTATAGAAGGTGCATCAACCATATTCACCTTCTTTACTTCCTTCTTTCCCTAATTTGGATAATAATACATACATACATGGAACTGTCATAACGAACATTTCCATAAACAAACAAAAATGTCTTTTTTCAAAAACGGAGGACAGGAAGGTAAAACAGCCTCTGCCTGAGGGCTGGTAATAGTGGGAAGGAGGAGGATATAAGGAAAGGGTGTAGGAGGGTGAATATGGTGGAAATATTATGTACTCATGTATGAAAATGGAACTAAGAATGGGGGAAGGGAGATAAAGGAGAATTATGGAGGGGGTGAATTTAACTAAGATATATTGTAAGCACTTTTGTGAGAGTCACAATGTACCCCGAGCATGACAATAATGATCATTTTTTAAAAAGTACAAAAGGACCATCTCAAAAAATTAAAAAAGAAAACAAAACATAGTTGATCAAACAATAAAGAATAGAAACCAGGCAGCATAAAAACAATTTGACTCTTGTTTTAAATTTCCAACTAAAGAGAAAAAGTAAACTGTGGAAGAAATTATTTTAGCTTCTTCATTAACACAATTTTAATAAAGTACAAAATGGACTCCAGTGCTTGCTAAATGACAGGATCAAAGAAGAGACATGGTCTTTCTGTCCTTGTGGAATTTCTGATTTCAGAATGTTGACTCTGGTTATTATAATACACTATAATAAATGCTACAACGCGGTAAGAAAAAGTTAAAAGCCCCAAAATAACAAAACTCTTAAAGAAAACATAGGAGGAAAGCTTCATCACATTGGATTCAGCAATGATTTCTTGGAAATGACACGAAATTCCATAAAAGAAAAACTATACAAATTGCGATTCATCAAGATTTTTTAAAAGAGCACTCTTGACAGAGTAAAAAGGCAACTCACAGATTGTGAGAAAATATTTGCAAACCATACATCTGATAAGGAATTAATATCCAGAATATATAAAGAAGAGGCCAAGGCAAAAGGATTGGAAGGAAGTCTGAGGCCAATCTGGGCTAAATGTTAAGACCCTGTCTCAGAAAAGAAGAGAATAAATTTCTACAATTGAACAACAGTAACAAAAAAAATCCAATTAAGAAATGGGCAAAAGACTTTAGTACAGATTTCACAAAGACCAATAAATATATGAAAAGATGTTCAACATCACTAATCAGGCAAAAACAAATCAAAACCATACTAAGATTCCATCTCATACACATTAAGATGGCTACTATTAAAAAAAATTAGTGTTGCATAGAATGTACAGAAATCACAACCCTTGTGTATTGTTAGTAGGAATTGTAAAATAATATGGCAGTGTCTCCAAAACAAACGAAAACAATGACTCAAACAGATATCTGTACACACTTGATCATAGCAGCATTATTCACGATTGACAAAGGATAGGAACAACTTAAATGTCCATTGATGGATGAATGGATAAGCAAAATGTATAAATATATATATAGTTAAATATATGACTATATATATGTATATGACTGACTCACAATGATTAAGATCACTGTGGTATACATAAGGATGAGTTTCTCTAGGCTACACACAGAGGAACCATAGCTTAAGGTATGTATATCTTCACCTTTAATAAAATGGTCATATCAATATGAGGTTTTCCCCTTGTTTGGCACGCACACCAACAACTGATGCTGTCAGATGTTTTTGCTAGGCCAATCAAGTGTTATCCCAATGTGAACTTACTTTGCATTTAATAGACTGTTAAATTTATGTTTGGATGTCTCATTTGGAAAGTATCTATGCCAGTTTTCTGCCTACTTCATTATAGTTTTTTTCCTTTATACATTCTAAATTTGAACTCTCTGTCAATTACTTGTGCTGCAAACACCTGCACTCTGTGGCTTGCCTTTAGTGAAAAGCTATTCATCTTGTAATGAATTCTTTTTTTGCTCTTTTTTTCTTTTTGGCAGTACTGGGGATTAAACTCAGTCTTGTGCTTGTGAGGCAGGTGCTCTTCTATGTGAACCATGCTCCCAGCCCTCTCTGTTTTATTTTTTTTTGTGGTTAGAGTCTTGAGATTTTTGCCCAGGCTGCTCTGGACCTTGACCTTCCTATTTATGATTCCTGTGCAGCTGAGGTGATCGGCATGTACAACTCATCAAGTATTGGCTAAGATGGGGTCTCACTAACTTTTTGCCCAGGTTGGTCTCAAACCATTTTCCTCACTCTCCACCTCCCAAGTAGGTTTCATCACAGGCATTAGCCACCACACTAAGTCAAGAAGTTGCTAATTTTTAAGGAGTCAAATTTATGTTTGAGTTTTATATAACTTGTTTAAATTTTTTCTTACCTCAGGACAAGAGGAAGAAATAACTTAAGGTTTGGATGACTATCTTCTTCTTGCCACACACTTAACTGTTTCAGCAGGTTGGAACCAAGCTGAAGGAGCGGTATTTCATTCAGACAGCCATCTTTGGCAGGCCCTGGACACCAACACAATCCTTGCCAAAAGTGTACTTCCACTTCTCACATGCCTCTTCCGAACTGACAAATACTCCATTCCCCCAGGGACAAAAGCAGTTCTATATTACCTCTCTATAGTATATTTATTCTTAAACACAATGAGAATTCCTGTTTCTCCTTCAAAGGGAAACATAGAATGCTACGAGAATCCACAGCATAAGACCCTAATAGGGGTGAGGGGTGAACAAATGCAAAATAATGAGCAAAGTTCAGAAAATGTCTAAGAGCAGCAGAAAACAAAGCTTTGAGAGTCAGCAGAGATGAACTACCACAAGATGCTTGAAAAGAGATGATGCGGGAGAGAACACAGATTAAAAAAACTTAAAGTTAAGTAATGTGGCTCTACTGACCGTTAAGCAAAGTAAAAAGAAATGCTGATCATTACCTGCAATCTGTACTGAGCCATCTTCTCCAAGAAGAATATTTCCAGCTTTCACATCTCTTCAAGTAAAAAAAAAGAAGTTACATTTCAAAAGACATCTATTCTTTTGTGTGACATACTTTAACTAATTATTTGCTGTATTTACATAACATTAGCAATATTTGAATATTTTATTTGGTATTAAAGGGTTTCAAGGCCAAAAGCAATTTTCGAAAAATTTTAGTCATTTGTACTAGAATCCAAATATTAAACAAAAACTGCAATAATGTATAGCTTATTATAATATCTAGAAAAACACTCTCTCACACTAAAAACAAGCAAACAAAACCTCAACTAAACATCACTAAAGCCACCATTCTCAACTTTACTGTTTGCTTCAAAATTTTCAACTATTATTAGTTTAATTACCATAATATATTCTTATGACATACCTAGACTTTTCTACTACCATAAATGATACTATACTATCCATTTAAACACTCAACTTATTTTCTTTCATTCAATAACATGTCAGTAGTTATCTGGCAAAACCATGCAAAATGTACAAGGGTATGCCACTGCAGCGTTCTTTGCAGTAAAACAAAAAATGCTAACAACCTAGAAAACACACACACACAATCAACTGTAGTAAAAAGGTTAAATTTTTACATTCATAAAAAAGAATGTCAATCAACAGGTTGTGATATGAAATGCCATCTAACACAGGTTTCTAAATGAATGAATCAAAGAGTGTAGTGCATTTTATAGGACACTATGTTTTTCCCCTAGAGATGAGTGGTACTCAGTCAAGGGAAACAGTGCTTCAATCTTATGAGAACGTACCAGAGTGGTCATTTTGCATTAAAAAAGGAAAAAACAGCCAAGCTGCTGGTAGCTCACACCCACTAGCTACTGAGACTGGGGCGGGGTTGAAGTTGGGGTGGGAGGAAATCGAAAAACATCTCAACAGGAAAAAAGCTGTGCTTGGTGGTGCCTTCTGTCATCCCAGCTACTGTGGGAAGCCTAAAATAGGAGAATCATGATGCAGTCTAGTCTGGGCAAAAAAGTAAGATCTTATCTCCAAAACATTAGAGAAAAGAGGGCAAGAGGCATTATTCAAGTGGTAAAGTACTAACTGTGCAAATGTAAAGCCCTGAATTCAATCCCCCTTAGAGAGGGAGAGAAAGAGGTACAGGGAAAAGGCGGGCCAGAGACAGGGAAAGAGAGAGGGGCAGGGGGAGAGAGAGAGACAGACACATAGACAGACACTGACTTTTAGGCTAGATAAAAAAGAAAAAAGAAAAAGAAATCTGAGGCCAGCTCCTGGAGGACGGTGTCACCATGAAAAGGAGTCAGACACAAGCATACCTTCATCCTGTCCCTGGCCCCGTTTTCCTCCATCTTGAGACACTCACGTTGGCAAGCAATGAACAATGGTTTCAGTGTTTAGCAACAGCAGCATACCTTGCCTTTCCAGAGTACACACTGAGGCACAAGGATGTCGGGTCCTTGAATGTTGTGTACTGCCCTGAAACCCAAGCACTTTACACAGGCATCTTCCAGACAATGATTAGTACAATGGAGGCTGCCCTGATTTGCTCCATAAATCTCTAGTCCCTGACTCAGACTACCAACAGGAGACAACTGAGGACATTCCCTTCCCGTGGTGACAAAGACTATCCGAGTCAACCACTATCTTTCAGCTTTCTTTCCCAAGCTCATCTAAAATCCAATGGAGAAAAAAAGAGTAGTTTAGCCACTCTTTGTTCTTCTGCAACAGGATGTACTACAGTATTAACACTGTGTGATCATATCTCAATGTTCTCCCCATTTCACTATGCAATAGAACTGGGCCTAGGGTTGGTTGGTTTTTTTGTTTGTTTGTTTGTTTGTTTTTGCGGTAATGGGGATTAAACTCAGGCTAAATGCTTACCACTTAAGCTATACCCTTAGCCCCTTTTGCTTTACTTTATTTTTCAGATGAGGTCTCACTTTTGCCTGGGGATGGCCTCAGACCACAATACTCCTACTTCTGCCTCCTGGCATAGTGGAGATTACAGATACGCCACCATGCTCAGCTTGATTTTTGAGACAGGGTCTTTAACTTTTTTTTTTTTTGGCCTTGGCTGGCCTCAAACTTAATTCCATCTCTGCTTCCCGCATAGCTGGGATTACTGCTGTGTACCATCACGCCTGAGCTTGTATCTTAATAGGCTACTACATAACTTCACATTACTTGTACTTTCTTAGGAACCTCCTAGATATTCATCAAACAGATTTAATCATCTACAGAGGATCTCACCTGCCTCAAATTCTTTCCTGGAAAGCAGTAAAGCATAAAAAACAATAGCAAGTAAATAAAAAAGCCAACTAAACACTAAGAAGAAACTAGGATCTGCCCAGATCCTCTATCTAATGTTCCACTTGTTAGTTATAAACTCATAAATTCATACACTATAGCCAAAGAACTAGAACAACCTAGTTATCCATAAACAGATGACCAATTAAGCTGTGGTAATTAAAAGCAAGAAATACTACACATGCCAATATATGTGTGCTTTTAGGGTACAATCTCTATCTACATATATTTATTTATTCCTTTCTTCCTTCCTTTTTTTTTTTTTTCCTTTGAGCCAGGGTCTCACTGAGTAGCCCAGGCTAGCCTCAAACTCAAGATCCTTCTGCCTCAACCTCCTGAGTGCTAAGATTATAAGAATACTTTATATATTGTGACCTCTTACATTTTTTTTCAGAAAACAGAACAGAGGAATGCATGCATGTATATATGTGTGTATATATATATATATATATATATATATATACATTACATGTATGCTGATATAAAATCTCTCTCAAAGGAATAAAAAAATAGTAATAAGCAAGACTTTTAAAATACTTTTTTAGAACAGTTTTAGATTCACCTAAAAATTGAAAAGACAGTGTAAAAAGTTCCACATACCTCACACTCCGTTTCCCTATTATTAACATTTTGGATTAGTAAAGTACTCTGCTGCAAGTACTGAACCTGAATTAATACCTCATTAACCAAAGCACACAGTTTATTCAGATTTCCTTAGCTTTTACCTAATGTCCCTTTTCTATCTCTGAATCCCATTTGGGACAGCACATTACATTTAGTTGTCATGTCTCCTTTGGCTGTGATAGTTTCTCAGACCATCCTTGTTTTTTGATGACCTTGGCAATTTCAGAAGTAGTGGCCATGTAATTTATATAATGCCCCCAATGGAACTTATTTGTTTTTCTCATGGTTAGACAGTATTACTAGTTTTTGTAAGGAAAACTATAAACATGCCATTTTTATCATATCATAGTAAAAGTACACAGGATCAACATAATTTAGCACAGGTGAGAATGGGAAGACTAGTTTTATACCATATACCATTTTAAGCTGTCTGAATTTTTAAAGCCATGTATAGGTATTACCTATTCAAATAACATTTTGTAAGTTTTTGTATTTTATAAGAGATAGTAATCCACTTTTCAACAGAACCTGTACTTTAAGTAACTATTTTTCCTGATTTATTCCCCAGACAATCAATCTTTGTTTCCCTTAACCAAAAGTGCAATCTGTAGAACAGCCTCCAAGACTGAAGGCACAGGAATGTTATGGCTCACTGAACAACCAAGTACACCACAGACTGTCCTCATATGCAACAGGATAATGGATTTTTCAAGGAAAAGATCTGCAACTAGATATCTGGAAACCAATATAGTTTTCAATTAAAGAACTTTTTTTACTCTACCACAAAGAATACCAAGCAACTCAGGAGCCCCAACAGTTAAACTCTCCATCTACTCTTACATAGCAAGAGCAGTTAGTTTTGCTTTCCACTGCTTACTGTCATTTCTCAGATGTCACTGTTACCCCAAAGTTACACATTCCTCCTAAAGTTAAAAGGAGTATCATTGACATGTTTGGCTTTCTCAATAGCACAGAATATAAGTTTCTGTTTATAACATTTTTATTACTCATCAATAGGCATAGTTCATGGAAAACTTGGGAGGAGGAAAAAAAGAAACCAGGAGAAGCAATGAATCAAAACCAAAGCTGGAAATATATTTACACATCTTAAATATCCAACATTTCTGTTAAAGCTAACCTCTTTAATGGCAAAGTTATTCGGGTAGGAAGAGAAAGAAAAACCTAACTTAGAGACATGTCTATCCTAATCAAAATCTCTAAAGTCTAAGAGAGTAGGAGATCAGAGAAAGACAAAGTAGAAATGGAGGAAAATTCACCAGGTTAATACACAAATCTACCTGCTATAACAACTGTCCTTAAAAATATGAGTAGCAAAGCCTACCAAAAATATATCTATCTCTATTCCTCAATACCACAACTTTCTTCTAAGCATGTTTAAGTATTAGTACATTTCAGAGCGGGTCACTGCTGAAGTTGAGTAGTAGTTCTCTGCCTTGGGTTGCACATTAGAATCACCTCAGAAACTTTTAAAAGTACCAGGGCCAAAGCTTTATTCCAGACCAAGTGAATGAATTTCTGGCAGTGGACCCAAGCAGTAACAGTTTTTAAAGTTTCCCAGGTGATCCAAATATGTATTAAAGGTTGAGTGTATATGACTTAAAGTGTTAGAGAGTGAATTCCTATTCAAGCAACACAGCAAACTGCGTGGACAGCAGACTTTCATCACTATCCAGGCCCTTGCCTCAAAATACATCGTTCCCTGCTGAAAAGAAGACAGAGAGACATAAAACACACACACACACACACACACACACACACACACACAGAGAGAGAGAGAGAGAGAGAGAGAGAGAGAGAGAGAGAGAGAGAGAGAGAGAGAGAGAGGGAGGGAGGGAGGGAGGGAGAGAGGGAGAGGTATATGCTGGATAAACTAGGAGAAAATAATTACCAGATAAGCTGAATATGAAATGAAGACAAGGAAATCCTCAAGGTTCAGAAATGAAGGAGAAACTTATAAAGCAAACCAGTAAGTCCTGGAAGCTCAAACAACCACAAAGTCTAGGTTTTCAAATCTACATCTAAACAGAACACATAGCACTGGACCAGTTTAACAATGGTAACTACAATTATGACACT